ATACTGTAATGGACCACCAGATTGCATTTGGCATTTGCGCTGCTCCGGGGTCGAAACGACAAAATGAAAAAAACCTTCATGGTGGGAGTTGATATATGAGCACACTTGTAGAGAACCAATGGGTAGGGCACATCAACTATTGCAAGAAGACAATGGGTTGCTGAAAGAATTAAAGCTCGACTAAAAGACCAGATGAACCTCAAACCCAAAGATATTGGAAATGACGTTCAACGGGATAATGGGGTGTCATTATCATACATGCAAGCTTGGCGAGGCAAAGAAGTTGCGAGGGCAATGATCCGGGGGTCAGAAGCGCAATCGTACACTGAGCTATCCCTCTATCTTGAGAAACTAAATATCACCAACCCTGAACTATATCCTACATATGAACTGATGAGTAGTATAGACTTGAGTGTCTTTTGCTCTCCTACCGTCCATGCCTCAATGGATTTTGGTATGGCTGTAGGCCACTATTAGGTTTGGATGGAACGTTCTTGAAGGGAACATATTTGGGGATCCTATTGACCACAATAGCCGTAGATGCTACTCATGGCACGTTCCTTGTTGCGATTGCCGTGGAAGGCTAAAAGTTGGACTTGGTTCCTAGAGAGCTTGAATGATGTGTTTCGTTAGGAGGTGGACATGGTTCCTTGTTTTACAGTTGTGTTGTATCAAACCGTCAAAAGAGTTTGAAAACTGCAATTCAGTGTGTATTCCTGGGATCCTATCCAACGCATTGCATGCGCCACCTTGTAAAAAACTTTAGGAGAAAATGGAAGAACACAGTGTTCACAAAGAAGATTTGGAATGCTATGTGTGCAGTAACTACTAAGGGGTTCAAGGAAGAGATGTTGAAAATTAAAGAAATAGATGAAGGGGCTTACCAATGGATAATAGAATAGAGAAATGAGTACTAGGTGAATGCTTATTTCTAGGGCAAGAGATACGATCATTTTACATCTAATATATCTGAGCAGTTTAACAGTTGTATTTTAGAGGATCGTGACAAGCCTCTCATTGCAATGTGTGAAGGCATCGAAATAAAGTTAGTGGCAAGATTTGCTATACATTGGTAGCAGGATGAAATGTGGACCGGTGTGCTAGTGCCTAAAGCACAAGAAGTCATAACTGAATGGATTGAGAAGTCAAAGTTCCTCCATCATGTCACATGGATCGCAGGCAGAAAATATGAGAATGAGGAGATGACGCACAATGTAGATCTCGATGCCCTAGTTGCACTTGTAAGGTGTGGTGGAACAATGGGTTGCCATGTACCCATGCAATTGCAGCTATAGACCACAGTCACCTCCAGATAACAGACTTTTGTGAGCCGTATTTCACTGTTCAAACTTACAGGACCACCTATGCAATTGAATTCCGTCATGTACCAACTATTAGGTTGAAATTTCACATGCCAAAAAAATCATCAAACAAGTACAAAAAACCCTAATCCGCCATCCTTTCTTGTTCTCCTTCAAATCTCAACCAAAAAACTTCGAATTTGTTCCAAAATACTTGTAATTCATTCACTAACAATGCCCTATTGAAATGTTAAAATATTTTATTATTTACGTGAGGTTTTAGGATCCAAATATTAGGTTTCTTGACCCCCAAAACCCCAATCAGTGATTACTCATATTTTTTCCCAATATAATACACAACCATTACACATTTGAGTAAATTTCTTGATGATTGGACCAATTATCAAAGCCCTAGAGTCAATGATTCGGTAGGTATAAAAATGATGGTAACCTCCCTCAAAAAATTAAAAAAATTGAATCCAAGAAAGAGATGAAACCTACCTGATTAGCATCCAATAGATGGCCAAATGTTTGCGAATGTGAGAGCTTCAGACGGTTGCTCCGTAGAGCGAGAGAACTCTAGGTAGAGAGAGAGAGGATAGAGAGAGAGGAGAAGATATAATGGGAAGAAGGGCCGAACGGGGTTTTGGGGCATTTGAACATATGTCCGGTATGAGGAACACAGAACAAATTAGAATATAAGTTCGACTACATGCGAATGATATTCGGCATCACTCATACCGGACAGACAAATAACAAAACGCAATTTGTCCGATATCTTGAACATTGGACAGTACAAACTAGCCCCTCTTGTCCAGTATTGTTATTGTCGAACAGCAGGGCAACTTAGGGAGAAAAAAAAAAGCGTCGGTGGGGAGGGGTGCTCCGCATAATTTTTGGGAAAAATAAAATCAATTGGTAATAAAAGTACACAAAAGGTGTCCATAAGTAAAAAAAACTATAAAAGAGATAGACAGATGGAACAATAAGAATTTTAGAAAATGCAAAAAATATAATTCCCCATTATGGGTTTTAGGCTGTATCCGACCTAAAATAATGATTTGATATAATTGATTTTTGGGGTTTTTCAAGTTTATTTTACAAGTTTATTATTTTTGTAGGTGCCTAGCACTTAGTTGACAGCTAGGCCCAAGGATTAAACTTGCGTTCCAAGGGCGGATTCTAGCAAGGGTGTAAAAATTCAAATTCACAATGAAAGGCTTCCCTTTTCTTAATGATAATTCATAAAGAAAACCATGTCATGCCTTAAATGTGCACCAGATTCCATTGGAAATAAATACCATCCGTAGGGTACAGACTCAAATTGTCCAGTTAGATGGGATTTGACCGCCTTTGGGCAATGCCTTTTTCTCATAATAAAAAGAGAGGATCATGGGTTTCATTTAAACATAGAAACATAGAGAAAGATACCCACATCATACCCATACTCTGAGTGAATGAGAGAGAGTGAGAGAGAGATTCCACCCATCACAGTCTCTCTTTCTCCCTCTGTCCTCTGCTGAGATTGTGTGCTTCTTGAAGGTGCTTCCGAGCAACTATCAAAGCTCATAGGATACAATCGGGTGGAATAGGCTTTCAACTCTGGTAATTGTGAAGCGGTCCCTTCAAGAAAGCTGTTTTGACTCTTCGCTCGGTTATTCACAAAGCAAAGGAGGAGAACTATAGTTTAAGGTAGTTGATTAAGCATTTTTTCTTTAAGAAGTTCATTCTGCTCGCAAACAAAGACCTCTATCCAACATTGGTATTCTCTTACTAGAAACCAATTCATTTACCTAGGAGAGCATAACAAATTTTACAGAGTCTTCTAATCGCTAAATCGCCAAACCCACAGGGTAATGCAACCGCTCACTACTGGCCAGATTGAATTTATGTGGAAGGGCAACTTTGTTTCGCAGGAAGGAGCACTATGAGATTCTCCACTGGACTACAGCTTTCCCAAAGCGGTAGTTACTGTAGTATCTGGGAACAGGCTTTCCAGCCTTTCCCAGTGCTCTATGTATCTTTGTGAGCAAGCGGATTCATTCCTATTTAGGTGCCAAAGCACTTTGCTGGGCTGATGGGAAAGCTCTCTCAATGAATGAACTTTCCCAGGTCTCCCGAAAAGCACTTTCACAAGAAACAAACATGCCCTGAAAGATCACCCTGCCATGAAAAGCCATTTTCATTTTTTCTAAAGTCTCAGTAATGTTAAACTGGAATCTTGTTCGGTCTAGACATGACAAGAGTCAAGCTGCCAGTCAGTGATCGAAAATGTCCTTTTCATAGGGAAGAATTTTCTCTAGCATCTCTTAACATTAGATCTAGAGACACTTCTTGGGTTTACCTTGGCATTGCTTCCAAATGAACATCGGAGCACTTCTAGGTTACATCCTTGGGAGTATCCATTCAGGTCCATCATCTAAACCCACAGCCTTATTTTCGTCTCTGTGCTTTCATAGAAGGTGACCTTCAGCTCCATACAGGCTCTTGAACTATCTATTCTATTCGCCGTTGTCAAAGTTTCCACTTGGAGATGATCTACCCCAGAAAAAAGTTTCTCACAAACCGGAGGTGGGAAACCATATCGTTACCCAAAGATACCTAAAAGTGTTTCAATAGATATGCCTAACTCCCGTGCATTCTTAAGCAGTAGCTAAATTTTCAGGGAAGAGGGATCCTCCATCCCCCACCTTCTAGAAAAATCTAAGGCCTGTCATCTATGATCTATCTTCACAGAAATCAAATAAATATGGTAAAAAATGTGCATACGACATATATGTGGCTGTCTCACAACAACACTACATGCTTTAAGTGGTAAATCTACAATATAATTCTCAAGTATATGTGGAGTGCATTAATGCATTATAATGGTCCAAAGAATTTTCAGAGAATGTGAAACTAATAAAGATAGCAGCTCATGTAAGAACGGGACTCATAATAAGATAACAGGTGGTAGAGATAGACAGGTTAAAGTAACCACATCATAAAATTGAGGGGGAAGGAAGTTGGACTGTTGGTTGTGGAATAATTAAAGGTCTTAGAATTCAACATAGCGAAGATGTACAAATGAATGAGAATTAAAAGGAAACTAACAAAGCAAAATGAATCTTAGCTAGGGGCTCCAAGCCGGCTTGGCTCGGCATGTGATGAGAAAGCTTCAACGGTATTTTGTAGCTCGACAAGCCACACCAAGCTGAGCTGGACAAGTCATTTACTAATCAGGCCAAGCTCAAGGCAAGTCAGCTTGAGCTTGAGTTGAGCTTGTTTAATATATTAGCTATAATTAATAATAATGCATATTAATATAACATTATACTTGAAAATTTTTAAAACACATGAAGCCTAGAAGCACGGCTTATGTTCGCCTTACTTGGCTTCTTTGTGGGCTTGCTTAAGTAAACAAGTGAAGCCAAGCCAAGCTCAAGCTGGGTAGTTCAAGCTTGAGCCAAGGCCATGCTCATCCTCCAACCATGGAAGCCCCATTTGAACGTGTCCAAGCGCGGATCATTGACACCCCTAATCTCAGCTTGTTTGCTTTCACATACAAGTAAAAGCACTAAATAGATCAATAAGGCAAATCATTAAGAGTTGGGCCATACTTATCTATCTGAAAAACTGGTGACTAGAGATCCATATAAATATCATTTGCTTGCATTACAAAACCAAAACTAAATGAACTACACAAGAAAAGGAAGTTACCCTGGTAACTCCAAGAACAGACTAAAATCATGACTTCTTTGTTTGCAACAGCTCCATTCTTTTCCACCGTCATGAAATATGGGCTGAACAAAGAATCCATCATTGATAGACAGACACTTAATCCATGCACATGCACAGATATGCAGAAATTTGAGGAATTAAACTTTCAAATAAATAATTAAAAGTGAACTGTCTTACCGGCTAAAGACATGAAGTGGGGCCGGGAACCGAAAGAACCAAGAGAACATGGCAAACAAAAACAAAAAAATAATCAGTTGATGCAAGATATCAAATCTGCATGTAAATGTATTATATGCATCTATAGCTACACACACAACATATATACTAGCATTCCACCCCACTCGTGTTGCATGCAGAGGAGTTATAGATGCGATTTTTTTGCTCTTGTTCTTTCAATATATATGGAACCACGATGAATCCTATTACTGACCAGTGATCTAATATATAATTTAGTATTTGCTAACACTTTAATTTTACACCAAACCCATGTGGATGCACCAAGAGAGAGTGAGGGGAGAAGAAATTTATGGAGGACTATACAGAAATACAATTGAGAATTTTCCAGAGAATGATGGAACAACGAGAAAGAGAATTTGAGAAAGAAATGAATAGATCCACAGAGAGAGAGAGAGAGAGAGAGAGAGAGAGAGAGAGAGAAGAGAGGGAGAGGAAAGTTTCCCAGCACCCTTTACAATGGGAGTTTCATTGAACAGTTCAAACCTATTAACTAAAGGGTGTTGTTTGTATAGTGCCGAGGCTCTAAACAATCAAAACAAGACGCACCTTCAAATAGTGCTGAGAAATGTGGTTTTAATACTGGAAATCTTTGTAATAGCCTTAAAATATATTGTCATCTTTAAGTATAAAATTTAAAGCTTAAAAGACAGTGTAGATCGAGCAGATATATAAAAACTTGAAAATCTAGAAAATTGACGGTCCGAAAATGCGTTACAAGAGGCATTGTTTTCAAAACTTGAAATCCATTTTTTTCTCATGTCCATGCATCTTGATGTCGCGATGATCAATTTGAGGATATTTGGGCATCAAAACAACTTCTTCTAGTGAAATTTTTTAGGTGGGCTCTAATTGATTGTTTAGAGTCTCGGCTCTACACAAACTTTTTCCTTAACTGAAAAACATGTGGGAAGAGGGTGCAAAATTGCTATTTGGGGAAATTAAATAGAGATAGAAGAGGGAAAGAGGGGGGAGAAAAGGGGGAGTGTGGAGGGTGGGTTACCAATAAAAAAGTAAACAAGGTACTTTTTAAGGAAATAATTACATTCAAACAAATATATGTTCTCTAAGGAAACCTGCTAGAATTAATAGAATCCCAAACATCATTAAATGACAGATATGCTGATCTTTTTCAATAAGTAGGTGTTCATTCATTTTAGTGGAATGATAAATAATTAAGAGCATTCCTGGAATATAATCTCACACAAGCCATCCCCAAACTGCTTAGGTGGACCACTTACTTCTAGAGTTCTAGTAATTCCCAGAGTGTTATTAATTCATTTAAGCACAAAAAATTTCAGGAGTTAGGTCAGCTCCTGCCATTTAGGAGTGCCCCGCTTTCATCGGCGGTTCACCATCAATCCCATGCTATAAATGTTAACTTTAGATCCTTGAAAACCTCTTTGTCCTTAAATGACAATGCCAATCATGCAGCAGCAGACTTATAGAACATTCAAATACACCCTAACATAGTATACGTAAATATGGATGTGAAATTATGAATAGAACTGGTAACATTTAACGACACCATAGATTTATATAGCATTTTGTATTGCACGCAGGACATAGATGGAAGTAGTGAGAAGGGATATGGTGACTTATGGTCTGACTAAGTGTATGGCCCTTGATAAAGTAGAATGGAAGAACATGAATCGTGTAGCTGATCCCAAATAGTTGGGATAAGCCTCGGATGATGATGATGATATTGCATGCAACATAATGTCAAACGATATTCCAAACAAATAGACACATTTAGCATTTAAGCTAGTATTTATCGTCATAGTTATAAGTGAAGACACATATATTATGAAGAAATACTGTCTCTGACTCTCATGTTCTTGTTTATAACTAGATCATTGATTGTAGATCTAAAAGTTCTTTTTTCCTTTTTTATCAATAGATTGTTTGCCTTCTTACATATCATGATTTAAAATATCTCAAATATGGTCTAAGCTATGTCGTATAGGCTCTTTTCTTTGGGCCTGTGTAGGACACATATCGGCACAGATTCTCCTAGAATATTTTGTTTACTAACCGTTGATTACATCATTTTAGAAATACGAACTTTAAGAATATCTAGGGATTCATCCAACCAAGGTATAATTGATTTCCTCTTGCTACTCATCATGAAATGAAATGTTAGTAATTTAGTATTTGATAAATAATTGTTGGATTTGGTTTTCTTCATAATATAGCTATGTTGTGGTTCTCTTCACAATATAGCTATGTTGCCGCAAGTAACTATAAAATTATACACGGGAAAAGCCTCCAAGTAACATGACTATCATAAACTCAAGCCTCCGCGTAACTTTTATGATTACTTCCATGAAATCAAGAAAAAGACAATATAGAAAATTGTAGAACAGTGTCATTTGCAGAGGCATCACGAATGATGGAAGTGCTTTAATTTAAGACTGGGTTCATAAGATCCACACAAACTCGTAGCCATAGTTCAAAAAGTCAGACGCCTAGCCACCTCGGCGGCTCACCTAGGCAGCCTGGAAGCCTCACCACCATGCACTGGGCCACCGAGAACCCTTTTGGCTAGGGCGGAAATTGCCCTAGACAAAAGGGAAAATAATATTATCCCCCCCTTTAAAAGGGGAAATAGTATTTGGGGGGATTTTGGCTCCCCAAAACCCTAGAGAACTCTATTTGTACCCCAAAAACTAAGTTTTTAGCTCAAAATCGGTTTTTTTTATAAGGATCAAATACAAATTTGAAGGTTTAAATGCTTTAGATTTTTAGACATTTCAAAGTTTTAGTATTTTATACATGTAAATTTGAGTTTTTAAACGTAAGGTTTTAGCACAGGCCAAATAGGATTAAGTTTTAGTATTTTAGACATGTAAATTTGAGTTTTTAAATGTAAGTTTTTAGCATAGGCCAAATAGGATTGAAATTTGAAACACAACCCCCCCCCCCCCTAAAAAAAAAACGAAAAAGGGCCCTCTTCCCCACATAGTGGCCGCCCAGGTCATTGGCGGTCACCGCGCTGTCTTCTTGAACATTGCTCATAGCAAATTGTAACTTGTGGGCACGAACTATGTTTGCTACACATTGATCTGATCTTTACTAGGACATTGAGAATGAAGGAGAGATGGTCAGCATAGGAATCTTGAAACCATGGAAATGCAATCCAAAACATAACCAATGCTCTTCCCACACAAGTTAACCAGGAGGCAAGCTTCGAAGCCTCAGATGACTAGCTCAGTTCATAATACAGTGCTTGTAATTTGAAAAAAGAAAAAAGAAACAAAGAAAGAAAAGCTGTGTCTCTAGGCTTCCACACATAATTTGGTAAATATCACGCCTCAGTTGCCAAATTAAATGTTATACTTTTTTTCTTTTTCTTTTTTAAAGTTGATGTTATACTTTCCCCAAAAACATATGGGAATAATATGCATGCCCTTGAGTCAACAACACTTCGAAAACACCTAAAGATGATAAAAGAAAATAAAATAAGAACTACTGCTAAAACATATGGTAGAACAACAAAGTGAACCCACCAAAAAGTCCCACCAGGGACGATCACGCATGTGCACTAACAGTAAGTATCCCTCTACTTGGTTAAAATAAGAAGCTAGGCTCCTCACATATGGTAAAGGTTCTCCCAAATGCCAAAACACACCAAGTTAAGCACCCATAAACACAATGTTGGTGCAAAGACCAGCCACTTAAAATGGCCTTGTTGGTGGTTGTAAAGGTTGCATGTTGCAATTTGCAAAAGAAAATAGCAACTGCTTGCTAATAAACATGGGCCAATTAGTGGTTACAAGATTTAGGAAGGTAACGGAAAAAAAAAAAATGTTATTATGATTTAGTTGCCTATTTATCAATTTTAGCAAACGTATCAAATAAACATCACATACCAATAAATCAAATGGCATCATGAAAAACCACCAACGGTAGAAAAAAAAAAATTTGATTTCCTTAACAGAACTTAATTTAGGTAGGATTAAATACATAAATCAGGAACCTCCATCAGGAACAAATCACTAAAACAATGGGTTAAAAATTATAAATTCCTGTAAAATAGCAATCAATAGTCAAATTAACAGAACAAAGATAAGAATGCATGTTCACTAAAGTTCTGATCTTTAAGGCTGCCCAAAGCTGATGGCAAAAAGTGACCCAAAAACAGACATTGCTTAGCGCGGGAAGAGCAAACGTTTTGTCTGATCACGCATTTTCCAGTCTAATAATCTTTGTAACAAAGCCCCAATAAACACAAAACCAATCATCCAATAAAATCCGAAGGGAATCAAAGTTCAGTACAAGAAAAAAAAACTAAACCATAAGAAAAGGCAAAAATCCACATTATTATCATAAAAATTCCCAACAAAGGGCCAGAAGCTCTTCAGTTCTAAAAGATAAACGCATTGATCAGTTCAAGAAACTAAACATCATAAAATCAAGAAACCCCTAAGGGAAAAGCTCAAAATCCCATAAAAGAGCAATAAAAGAGAGAGAGAGAGAGAGAGAGAGAGAGAGGGCGCCTACCCCATGGTGATATGTGCAAGAGCCCTCTGGGTTGTCGTCCTCAGAGAAGAATGCAACGCAGCCAATCCGTTGACACCGAACCTTAACCTTCTCTTCCGCCATCTTCTCTCTCTTCTCTCTCTCTCTCTCTCTCTCTCTCTCCCTCTCTCTCCCTCTCTCTCTAGAATCGTTGCTCAGTAACTCGGAAGGGCTAGACGAGCCTCGTCTTTAGCAGATTCCCAGTCCAGTGTAATTGTGTCTGGACTCTGGAGTACTAAAAAAATAATACAATTTCGTATGGGTGCGGTTGGTATAGAGTCTACACTCTAAAAAATCAAATTAGAGCCTACCTTAAAGATAGTATCGAGAAATGTGGTTTCAATATTAGAAATTTTAATGTAATGATGACCTTAAAATATATTTTTATTTTTATTGATAAACTTTAAAGCTTTAAAAATAGCGTAAATCGATGTGTAACTTGAAAATATTAAAAATTGACGGTCAAAAAATGTGTTACAAAATACATTAATTTAAAAATTTGAAATTATTTTTTTCTCATGTCCATGCATTTTGATGTCGAGATGATCAATTTTACAATATTTGGTCATCAAAACAACCTCTTCTAGTGAAATTTTTTAGGTAGGCTGAAATTTGATTGTTTAGAGCCTCGGCTCTATATAAATTTTTTCATCTTTATATTGCGAATGTCAAAAGCCTCAGGATTTTCTACTCCCGCGGGAGTTTACTATGCAAATACTTCCCTAGGCAAAATTTCCATTAGGGGCATCTTTTGGATCCCAAATTTTAGGGGTTAATCTCTGGAACCCAGCAGCCAACCTCAAAGAAAGAAGAAAGCTTATTCTCACTCTTATGTATGCCTAAAAGAATGGGCATCCTAAAATTGCACTAGAATTATGTAATGTTTTTTGGGAATGATTTATACGTTCAAGAACTCAAAATTTAAGTTTAATTATAATTAGATAGATTTTAAAATATAAAAATAAATAAATAAATAAACTCTTAAGCAAGTGTTTTACCCGAAGGAGTAATGTATAGTATACTCCCGAGGGAGTAAATGTATAGTATGGTTCCAAGGGAGCATAACATATTCGCTCATAAATCCCTTGTATTCATAGGTTCTCTATTTTAAAAGCCCCCTTTATCAAAGCATACAGTGTACTTGAGTTTTTTTTTTAACATTAGATTAGACTCAAACTTAGGGTGTCGATGCTTCTCTACAAAACATTTAAAATTAGAAATATATTATAGCAATATTTTAATAATATATATTAATTTTTAAATATTTTTATAGACATGTGTGATGGTGAAAATGATGGATTACCTAAACTTGAGTTTAATCCAATATATAAGAGAATTAAATTAAATAAAGGGTATGGTTTGTATAGAGCCTCGGCTCTAAACAATCAAATTAGGGCCTACCTTCAAATAGTGTTGAGAAATATTGTTTCAGTACTGTAAATCTTTTTGATAGCCTTAAAATATATTTTTATCTTTATTTATAAAGTTTAAAGCTTAAAAAATAATATAGATCGAGAGATCTATGAAAACTTGAAAATCTTGAAATTTGACAGTCTAAAAGTGCGTTACAAAATACTCTATTTCTAAAACTTGAAATCTATTTTTTTATCATGTCCATGCATCTTGATATCGAGATGATGAATTTGAGGATATTTGAGCATCAAAACAATATCTTCTAGTGAAAATTTTGAGGTAGGCTCGAATTTGATTGTTTAGAGCCTCAGCTCTATATAAATTTTTTCCCTTAAATAAATACTGTAAAAAATTGAAACTTAAGTGAAAATTATGAAATGTAGAAAATATATTTAAATTTCAAAAATTAAATGACATTTTTAAGTAAATCTCCAAAATGGCATGGTATCTAGAAAAGGTTATTTAAATGGTGACTCAATTATCAATGAGTAGTCACATGAACCATTTTTATCAAGACGATGTTACTTTTATAAACTCATCGCATTCACATGCTTCTCAAACTATTTTGGTGAAATACCTAAATAAAATGTTTTTATTATAAGTTTCAAATCCTCAATACGGAGTGGTATTTTAGTAAAATTTCATCTGAGACACAAATGGTCCAATTACCAAGTTGGCCACTGGGTTCCAATCCTAAAATAACTGATTATTTATAAAATAAAAAAAACATTTTTAGGGTTCCAAATTTTGAACAGGCACATGTAGGTTTTTTTTTTTTTTTTTTGGCACTTGTCACTTTTGTGGTTATGATTATTCCGTACCCATAACAAAATATTTTATCATATCTTCTAGGTTTAAAATCTATAAAATAAAATAAAATTATTTATATCATTTGGATTAAAACACTTAAGGGATATCAAATTATTAAAATACTCTTTTGAACCTTAAACAAAAGCACTTCAGGCAACTTTTAGCAACATAATTGGAGAGATACTTGAGCAAAATAATTTTTTAAAGAAACTATTCTACCAATAAGTTATTTAATTTGACATTTTCAATAAAATGCAATGGTTATGACATTATCTCTGGCATCTTTCTTGCACGTGATCCCGTATGTGATAAAGACTTTACGGGCATTTAAGGAAAGCCTCAGTTTGGATGATATACCTGCATTATGTACTATAAGATTATTTACTTATGGTAGAAGAAGGGTACAGTCATCTATTGTCATTTGATGTGAAATTCAACACCTTACAGCCATGAAATATGAACTTGTTTTTTAGATTTTGAGTCCAATCGTTGGCACACTTTTAATTGGTTGATTTTACATTTAATAGTTAAGCACGATTCTTACTGCCTCGTACCAAGGTAAATGAGCTTATTTTATATTTTTCTTATGAACAAAGTGTTGAAAACAAAAAATAGCGGTAGAAATATGAGGTATCCTTTTATGATATACCCTCTCTAAGGTGGTTCCTCTCTCTCCCTCTATAATACAAGTTATTGGATGTATCTCAGTTCCCTTCACAACAATACAATGGATGCATAAGTACACAAATCATTGAGAGATTATTAATTTTTTAGCAATTGTATCATATAAGACCATTTACTTTTAGTACAAAAAAAATAAAGAGGCTTTACCCACTCTTTTTTCCATTTTTTTTTCTTTTTTTCTTTACATGAATGGAGGATTGGATGTTATGGTGAGGCATCAGCCCACCGTAACGTCCATGAAGTGCCTCCTTTTTTTAATCCCACGGTAAAATAAGAGGCAAATAACCCATCATCGCTTCTAATATTGGACGAGGTTTGTACCTATTCAAGTTTGATTTCCTTATTTACCCAAAAAAAAAAAAGGCTCAGTTTCCTCACAAATTTCTTCAAATTATTATTTTGTTAGAAAATCATGTTTATAGTAGTTTTCGGATTTGAAGCTTTACAGGTGGATCATGAATTGGGAAAAAGAATAGATTTTGAACTTTAAGAATAGATTATTTTAAATATTACTTTTTTACCTATTTATCACCATTATTTTAGTTTTCTCACATATTTTGCCTATCTTCTACATATCTCATCAGCTGCATCTCCTCTGCTCACCATCAATGACAGTGGAAATAAAAATAAATCGTTCTTATAAGAAAGACTCGTGTAATCTAGCTGGAGTATATAATAATTTTTTTCTTTTTTTTTTCAATTAGTTTCTTCTCGGTTTAGATTATTTGCAAGTAATCTTTTTACAATATAATAACTTCAAATAAAATAAAATAAATAAATACAATAGGATCTCGAGAACTTGAAGCAAATTCAAAACCACACTTTTTATTAACAAAGAAACGACAACTTATGTTCGGAAATAAAAAATATAATAAATAAATATGAAAAAAATAAAAGAGGGTGTCCGAGATTACCTCAATCGGGCTTAGTGGACCCTACGTCGAGTCTCCTCTTTCCAATATACTTGGATCTTTGATCGGTGTCTTGATTTCTCCTTCTTATGACAAAATTAAATCAATGCACATGGATCCCAATCTAGAGCCACCAGCATAAAGCCTCAATGCTTATGCCTAATTCAAACCCCTTAGCTCGATCCTTATGAGATATAGGTATCTAGACATAAGGGAGAAAACTACTAGCTAGGGATGATCCCTTTGCAGTCCACAAAATAACATAACCAAAACCTAGCTTAATTTAGAACTAATGATAGTTATTCAAGTTTAACCTAGCCTAGCTTGGGCATGCTCCTTTGGAATAGTTTGTGAGAGAGAGATAGAGGTAGGCTAAGGTGAGGCGTGGCTCTTTAAGTTTCTTGAAGAGAGAGAGAGAGAAAGAGGTAGGCTAAGGTGCGACGTGGCTCCTTGAGTTTCTTGAAGAGAGAGAGAGAGTAACCAACGTGGGGCATACCCCTTAGAGAGGATAGGGAGAGAGATTCTATTTTAAAGAGAGAAGAGATAGTTAGTAAGAGGTGTAGAGACAAGAAAAAGAGAATGATATTTTTTATAGATTTTCATGCATTAGGGTTTGTCATAGAATTGTACGAACAAATCTTGACCGTCGATCTGAAGAGACTTGTGGGATGAGAGATGTGAGTCATCAATTCCCTAAATCCACCATCAAGATGCTAAGGAATGCGCTAGAACCTTATCATCCGCTTCTTAAATCTATTCCCACCAAATAAGTTAAATAAAGAAAACATTTCTTTATTTTTTTTCTTTATTTTATCTAATAGTAAATATTCATTCATTATTTCTCAAGCAACCCTTCTTGATTATCAAAATTTTCTAAAGCTACATATTTTATTCCTTTATTGCAAGTAGGCTTATATCCACAAAAAGAAAGCCAACCAGCATAAGATGCATCTCACAATATTTAGCAAGAAAATGCAATCCATGTGGGTGGGGTGTGCCAGGGTGGGGTGTGCCACCCTTTGGTGGCCACTCATGGGCTCCACCCAATTGTCCCATGTGATTTAAATGGGGTTTCCAACAATTATAGAGGGCCATACATATTTTAGAAACAATAAAAATTGATTTTTAGATTTTTCAAACATCTTAGTTTATTTTAAACTTTAAAAATGAATTTCTCTTGATTTATAAATTCAAATGATAAAATTCAAATATCAAAATACTCATAAAAATTTAAATAAATATTTTAAAAATCAAATAACATAAAATTAATTAAATTAAATTAATTTTGATGAGAATCAAATCCAAATAGGTCTAGGATTTAATCAATGCATATGAGTACTCCACCTTCATCTGTGGACCACAATCCACACTTGCTTTTTCAAACTAACCCAGCAGTTCCCATGATCCACAATCCACTACAAGGGCTCATGATTG